ATATAAATGCCCATGTCACCCCTGCCTGATTTGTAATAGAGAACATTTCCAGAGACCCAGATTTTTCTGTGTCTTCTCTTGGTCACTCTCCTATCAAAGATAGTCACTATTTTAGCTTCTACCAACTGGCATGAATTTTATATAGAAACTAAAAAAGTTTAACCTGAAAATGTTTTTAATTAGACATCTCATGATGAGTAAAAATGAACACACTATTATACATAACCAATGAGAATACAATGTGCCGTATAAACCAACTAAGAAAGTGAACAGAGCCAGGTGTGGTGATGCACGCCTTTAATCCCAGCACTTGGTGAGGTAGAGGCAGATGGATCTCTGTGTGTTGAAGGTCAGCCTGGTCTATAATCTCCACAGTGAGAGCTACATAGTAAGGCACTATCTCAAAAAAGCCAAGGGAGGGAGAGAAGGAGGGAGGAACAGAGGCGACAGGGGCTGGAGAGATGATGGATCAGTGGTTAAGTGCACTGGCTACTCTTCCAAAGGTTCAGGTTCTATTTCTAGCACCCACTTGATGAATTCTAATCATTTATAACTATAGTCCTAGGAAATTCAATACCCTTTTCTAGCTTCCATAGGCACCAGGCACACACACTGTATACAGATACACAAGCAAGTAAAACACTAATATATGTAAAAAAAAAATGCTATTTTATTTTTATTTACCTTTGTTTATTTTTCAAGACAGGATTTGTGTTGCTCTGGCTGTCCTGAAACTCACTCTGTAGACCAGACCGGCTTTGAACACACAGAGACCAACCTGCCTCTGCCTTCTGAGTACAAGTATTAAAGGTGCCTGGCCATAAAAATTATTTTTAAAGCAGAAATTAAATGAACCCAGATAACCTCTGACTACTAACCAAACTGCTATCCAGCTAGATGTTTATCAGTGTGGACCTCACCTCCTGTCTGTGCTACAGAGAAGGTTCACATGACTGGGAACAGCTGGCAGGAATACAAAGGCCAAGTGAGAAATGAAAATGCAGACTCCACAGTCAGAGAGAACTGGGGAAATTACTTCTCAGCATCTCAATTTCTTATGATAGGGAATACAGATCACTTATCATGATTCCGTGGGAAGGTATATAAAACAATCATTTAGTGTTCAGAACACAACAGGTGCTCTACAAATGATAACTATATATAATCACCTGTCCTAGAGCTAGGTAAAGATGCTAAGGCCACAGGCTTCCGTTTCCTCTTAATGTCACGTGAACATGGTGGTCCCCAGTGTACCTTCGCCTGCCTGCAGAAACAAAAGGAGAAAGAAGATGTTTACTCTGTGGTACTTGTTGTAAGACACTGTACTGTCCAGACGAAATCTCTGACTCATACAGATGTATGGCAACAAAACAGGCATCATCTTTTGTATGGCAACAAAACAGTCTCTGGACAGACTTGGAATTAAGCAAAGCCCACAATACATGGCACTCTCAACTTTTTACCAGAATTCAAAGAAGCAGATATTTAAGTTTCAATAAATATGTGTTTCATTATGTGATTTTTTTATACCATGCTTTCACATGAAAACTCTAACTGCAACTGAGCTAAATTCACTAATGAAATACCTATTCCATATGATAATGCATCGAAAGGGTTAATGCCCTTCCTGTGAACAGAGACATTTACACAGAATTATAATAAGTTAATTCTGCTGCCACTAGACAATCTGGATTTAAAAATGTTTGTTTTTTATCTATAAGTGTTTTGTCTGCAAGTATATATGTATATCCTGTGTGTGCATGATGTCTGTAAAGTCTGGAGAAGGGAGTTGGATCCCCTGGAACTGGAGTTACAGACAGTTATGAGCCACTCTGTGGGTACTGGGGATCAAAGTTGGGTCCTCTTCAAGAACAGCAAGTGTTCTTAACCACTGAATCAATTCTCTACCCTGATAATCTGGATTTTTAATATGTGTTTATATCACAAGTTAAATTTGGTTCCTGTGACTTTCAAAGATATAAATTATGTATCAATAACATGTTCCACTGCTAGGATATTCAGTTTATTTCACAAGTAGCGCAACCAAATGCTCTACCCTAGAACACAGATTCTCTGGAAAACAACAGACTTAAGACTGAAATAGCCGACACAGTATCTTAGTTCCCCAAGTCCCTGACTTCCTCCTTTTCTGCAGTCTGGACAGACTGCCCCTGATAAAGCTGACTATCACTTTTATACAAAGCTTTCCTTGAACTCTGCAGGGATTACATGCCACGAATCATTATTTGACTGGTGAACATACATCATGCTTCCCTAATGAGGCTTAATCTCCTTGAGATTAAGAACAGGGGTCCTGAGAGCAGGGGCCATGTTGACACTTCTTTCTTAATTATTCAATGATCTACCAACCTCAGCACAGGGCAGGTGATGGTCCTTATTAAGTATATAGCAGCCAGAACTTACAGGAATAAGAATTTTAAAAATCAAATGGTACGGCGGGCAGTAGTGATGCATGCCTTTAATCACAGCACTCAGGAGGAAGAGACAAGTGGATCTCTGTGAGTTTGAGGCTAGCCTGGTCTACAGAGCAAGTTCCAGGACAGGCTCCAAAGTTACACAGAGAAACCCTGTCTCTGGGAAAACAAAACAAAAGAAATGGTAGAAAGAATGAACCCTAAAAAGTCGCTACAAATAGCAAATTTTATGTTATTTATATTTTGGCACAATTATAAAATAAACAGCTGTCACCCATTAAAGAAAAGGAAGTAGAGCTGGAGAGGAAGATCAGGAGTCAAGAGCACTTGCTACTCTTACAAAGAATCAAAGTTCTATTCCCAGTACCTACCTCAGGTGTCTTATACCTGCCTGTACTTTCACCTCCATGGGATCCAGGGCCCTCTTCTGACTTTCATGGATACCCACATATATATGTGTACATGTGCCTGCACACATGTCTGGTGTAGCAGAACACCAAAGGTACACAGGATTTCTGTCTGGATGAAAAGGCAGTAACACTACAGTATTGTGTTTCTGATCCAGAGACATGTACAGACCAGCGTTCCACCTCTCCACAAGCAAGGGCCCTAGCTGGGTCATGCTCTGCCACAGGGACTTCAGGTGTGCATTAGCCATCTTTTCTCTTCACTGTAAGCTTATTAAAAAACAAACATGACAGCACACATGAGTGACCTCAAAAATTCTATGAGGTAACTTCTACAGCTAAGAAATACCTTCAGTGAAGTGGCTGGATACAAAATAAACTAACAAAATTTTTAGTAACCCTCCTATATACAAATGACAAATGGACTGAGAAAAAAAATTAGGGAAACAACACCCTTCACAGTAGCCACAAATAATATAAAATATCTTGGTGTAATTCTAACCAAGCAAGTGAAAGACCTGTTTGGCAAAAACTTAAGTCTTTGAAGGAAGAAACTGAAGAAAATATCAGAAAATAGAAATATCTCCCATGCTCATGGATTGGTATGATTAACATATTAAAATGGTCATCTTACCAAAAACAATCTAGAGATTCAATGAAATCTCCATCAAAATTATAACATAATTCTTTACAGAACTTGAAAAAATGATACTCAACTTCATATGAAAAAAAAATCTAGGATAGCTAAAACAATACTGTACAATAAAAGAACTTCTGGAGGTATGACCATTCCCGATTCTACTACAGAGCTATAGCAATAAAATCCGCATAGTATTGGCATAAAAACAGACAGGTTGATCAATGAAACTGAATTAAAAACCCAGACATAAATCCTCATACCTATGGACATCTGATTTTTGATAAAGAAGTCAGAAATATATAACGGAAAAAAGAAAGCATCTTCAACAAATGGTGTTGGATGCCAGCATGTAGAAGAATGCAAATAGATCCAAATCTATCACCCTACACAAAACTAGAGTCCAAACGGATCAAAGACCTCAACATAAAGCAGATACACTGAACCTAACAGAAGAGAAAATGGGGAACAGCCTTGAACAAACTGGCACAGGAGAAAACTGAGCAAAACACCAACAACACAGGCACTAAGATCAACAATTAATATCTTATTCTTTCAAATGGTACCTTTGAAACCGAAAAGCTCTGTAAGGCAAAGGACACCATCAAAAAGACAAAATGGCAGTCTACAGAATGGGAAAAGATCTTTACCAAACCCACATCTCACAGAGGGTTGATTTCCAAAATATATAAAGAACTCAAAAAAACTAGCCATTAACAAACCAGATAATTCAATTCCAATAACCCAATTCAAATCCAATTTCAATTAAAAATAGGGTACAGATCTAAACAGAGAATTCTCAACAGAGGAATCTCAAATGGCCAAGAAGCATTTAAAGAAATGGTCAACATACTTATCCATCAGAGAAATACAAATCAAAATGACTCTGACATTCCATCTTACACTTGTCAGAATAGTTAAGATAAAAAACACAAGGATGTTGACCAGTCACTGCTGGCAAGATATAGAGCAAGGGAAACACTCCTCCAGTGCTGGTGGGAATAAATGCAAACTTGTACAGTCACTTTGGAAACCAGCATGGTGGTTTCTCAGAAAATAGGGAAACGACCTACCTCAAGACTCAGCATATATCCAAAGGATATTCAATCATACCACAAGGACACTTGTTCAACTATGTTCATAGCAACTTTATTCGTAATAGCCAAAAACTAGAAACAACCCAGATTTCCATCAACTGAAAAATAGATTTAAAAAAAAAGTGGTACATTTACACAAAGGAGTATTACTCGGCTGTTAAAAACAATGAAGTCATGAAATTTGCCAGAAAATGGATGGAACTAGAAAAGAAAAGATTATCCTGAGTGAGGTACCCCAGACCCAGAAAGACAAACATGGAATGTACTCACAGGTGGATATTAGTCATAAAATAAAGCATAACCATGCTACAATCCATGGGTCCAAAGAAGCTAAGTAACAAGGGGGGAGGACTCAAGAGGAAACTGTGAAAGGGAAATAGAATAGACCTCACAGGCGGATGGGGGTGGGAGGTACACAGAAGGTAGGGAGGGCATGGGAACAGAAAGAGGGGAAGGATGGAGGTGAGAGTACTAGGAAAGACAACTGGAATCAGGGGCATCTTTGGGATGAGCGAGAAACTCATGTGCAATGGAAACTCTCAGGAATTTATGAGGGTGACCCTGGCTAAGACTCCTAGCAACGGGAGATGCAGAGCCTGAACTGGCCATCTCCTGTAACCAGGCAAGATTTCCAATGGAGGGACTGGGACCGCAACCCAGCCCCATTATTTTTTGACCTATAATTTGTCTTGCCTACAAGATATGCTGGGGTAAAGGTGGCACAGAAATTATAGCAGTGATCAACCAATGACTGGTCCAGCCTGAGACCCATAGCAGGGGAGGAAGCCCACCCCTGACAATGCCAGGAGGGCCAGGACCCAGAAGCTGGATAGCCCAGAGACCTAGGATAGAACCAAACATGACCAGAAAAAATAGTCAATAAAATGATTCTTAACAATATTCTGCTGTACTCATAGATCTGGTGCCTCATCCAATTGTCATCTTTTGAAAGGCTTCAGCCAGCAACTGATGAGAGCAGATGCAGACACCCACAACCAAACATTAGGTGGACCTCAGGGAATCCTGTGGAAAAGGGGGAAGAAGGATTATGGGAGCCAGAGGGTAAAGGAAACCACAAGAAAACCCACAGAATCATTACCTTGGGCTCAGAGGGGCTCATAGAGACTGCACTGCCAACCAGAGAGCTTGTGCGGGACTGACCTAGGCCCTCTGTGCATCTTACAGTTGTGTAACTTCTTCTTCTTGTAGGGCTACTAACAGTGGGAGCAGGGGCTGCCTTCCCTCCTATTAGGTTGTCTCATCCAGCCTTAATAGAAGAGGAGGTGCCTAGTCTTACTGAAATTTGATATGCCATAGCTGGCTGATATACAAGGGGGGAGGGTGCTGTCCTTTTCTGAAGAGAAAGGAGGAGTGGATGGGGAAAGGGACTGGGAGGAGAGGAGGGAGGAAGGAAGGGGAAACTGTAATCTGACTAGGAAAATAATTAATTAATTATTTAACTTTAAAAAGATAAAAATAAAGTTTATTTCAACCAACAAACCCATCTCTGGTAAGAAAAAAAAAACAAGCAACAACAACAAAAAACTCACCAACTTCCTTCTCAGAGTAAGTATTGGGAGCAGTTCTTAGGTCAGGACAGTAGGGAATGGGGAGAGAGATAGGAGAGAGAGGGGCAGCAGATTCTGGGCTTCTTCCTGGCAAGGTTCACTTTTAAATCTTTTTTTCAA